TGTATTTTCTTAATCCTCTGATCTTCAGCATGTAACACTCAATAGAGCGCAGTGAAATTATCCCCATTCTCCATGAACCACACTCCTTTGGTATGTTCATCCAATCAGTCAATGAAAAACAGGAAGTTTTCACTTGTGAGCCAAAACCAGTTCCTCAGTTGTGACATTATTACTCTAAACTCCTTTGATTTGGATACTGGCTCGAACCTTAAAAGAAATATTTCATTCCGAGAGATACAAACCAAATTACCTGAAGATTCGATGAAGAAAACTAAAATTACCTCATGAGGAAGGAGGATATCGACGTAGCAGACTTGTTAATTGGCGAAGAAACTTCATCGAGGGTTTGCAGAGATCGTACATTTCCCCAGCGTCGCAGAGACGCGTGATTCTGAAGACACATGAGGAATTGGCGCTAGAAATTAGGTTCTAGTAAATTTTGATCAAAGTGATGATTAGGTTCAATGGGTTTGACAGCCTGGCCTATGTTCTCCTAAGGCCCAATAAACTCCTTTTAGTCCATGAAGCCCTTTCAATAAGAGTAAAGTCGAGAAGAGCTGAAACCCTTTTTATGTATATTTTCCTATTAAAATCAGACATTTTTTATAAAATAGAAAAAACGAAAAAAAAAAAAGGTAGATTGTGCAAATAGGCACATATGCACAATCATGTTAATCCTTCTTATCAGATTCTAAGACAATGATATTCAAATAAGTAGCACACAATATCGCTACTTAAAAGCAAAAATGATAAAAGTATAATTTAAGGTTTTATAAATTTGTTTTTTTGTCTGTATTGGATTATAAAATAAAAATTCTTGAATGGGAGAGATCTCTTAATATTAGGAGCCTGCACTTTTTTATAAGGATTTATATTTTATAGTCCAAACTATAAAATATTTTTTCTATATTTTATATGATATAATGTAACATTTTATAATTAATTTCTTTTTTATTTTAGCATTAATTGATATGCATTGTTTTATTTGATGTTATTTATTATATATAAATGAAAAATGATTACAAAACAGGTCCAAGCCTCCAAGGTTTAAATCTTAGGTTAACATTTAAAAAAATATCACAATACGTACACACCCTAAACCCACACCCAATGCTACACACAACCGGTCCATCTATTAAAATATATTTTCCTCACATGGGTTCCCCTCCATCCCTTCATCCACTTGTTCTTATTTGTGTAACCAAACACACACCGAAAATAATACCCAAATTTGTTCCATCCCAATTTCCAGCACCTTCTTCCTTCTTTCTTTTTCCTTTTTTTTTTTTTTTTGTTTTTCTGGAGAACAACCTGGGTTCTTGGAGAGCCCAGACCTGGGTTCTTCTCGGAGAACCTAGATCGGGTTCTTGTTCTCCGGGTTCTCCATTTCTCTCGACTTCTTTTCGGATGGATCTATGGTTACTTTGAATTGGCTGTTTGTTTTCATGTTTCCATGTTCTCCGTTTATTTCTTTGGAATCTGGGTTCTCTTGGTAAGAACACTTGCTTAGCTTCATGCTCAGCCTCCTTTCCTACAGCTTCTGGTTTTCCTGCAGGTAGAGTAAGGGATGAGCGTGCTTTTGGGTTGTCTAAAACTGGAAACCCACAAAACCCAAGTGGTCCCGACCCTAGCTTTTCCGACATGGGTGAGGACGGAATGAAGGTGAAGACAGGATCTGTGGTAGTTCAATTAATTTTTGGTGTATCGATAGCGATTGGCAATGTTTTGATCTTGGTGTAGCTATTTTGGAAAAAATGGAGGTTGAATTGGCCTTCATGACTAGGGAGTTCGAAGGAGATAACCCAGATTGGAGAAATGGAGGTTGGATTTGGAGAAATGGAAGTCCGGGAAGGCCGATTGAAATGGTTTCACCAAATTGGGACGAGTCTGTAGAGCTTGGAGGGATTGAAATGGAGGTCGAATTTGGAGAAATGGAGGTTGGGGAAGGCCGATTGAATTGCCTTCAAGACTAGGGATTTCAAAGGAGATAACCCAGACAAGCCAGGGATGAGTTTTTTACGCTATACAAACGTATTTAACCCATATTATATTTTTTGAGCCGAATGGTGTAACCGTGGGTGTCGGTTGGCAGGGTAAACACATCATTATCCTTAAAAAAATTAATTTTCTTAAATACATCAACCCAATATAAATGATGCATCCTAAAATCCTTTAAGAAGAAAATACTTTCGAGATGCATATTTTTACTAGACCTGAAGTGTCTTGACAATAAATGAAAAAAAGTTATACAAACAAATGTTACAAGCTATCATTACCGAGTTCCAATCTAAACTCTTTTGTCAAAAATTGTGAACGCTTAATTTAACATTTTAACATTTTATAATTAATTGTATAAATAAATGTTATAAGCTACCATTGTTGAGTTACCCTCTAAAGGGTTGGCCCAATTAGTTAAGAGAATAAGATTTTAAGTTGAAGATCTAATATTTGAATTCTAAGTCAAATAAAGAGAAATTTGAAACAAAAATTATTTTTTCTTGTATAATTCTTTATTAGATATATTAAAATAATTATTGTTGAGTTACAATTTAATATTTTATAATTAATTTTTTTAAATATATAATTATTTTACATTTTGGCTATAGGAGAGGGCAAAGAGAAAGTGGATCGTTTGTTAGGAATTTTAATGACCTTCCGTTGAGGAAGACAGGTTCCACACTCTTAACGGATTTGATTTGAAATGGAACTTGGATTCTTTTATTATTATTATTATTATTATTAAAGCAATGTTGTGGCACTTTGATTTGAGGTGTTATGTAATTCAATGGGTTTGTACAATTGTCTATACGATGAACTTGGCTAATTAAGTGACAGTAAGGCGTAGGCCATCATTAGTTGGAATCTTAATTAACTTTGGCAGTAATTAGTCAATATTGGCCTTTTCGTTTGGCTCTGAATAACTCTTGGCAATGCATTTCGGTTGATTGTTCGAGGAGTTAGAGAGGAAAGTAGCTACGCGTGCCCTCTGGTATTTTTAAATACAGTGCTTAAATAAGTTTTGAGGAACTTTATTTATATAAAATTTTATTAAATTACTTTTATTATAGAATGAGATGAATTTCAAGTCAAGTATATTTGTTTTATTTAATGTTTTGAGATGAGATTATAATTAAATGAAAAGTGACTATTTTTAATTATATATTATTATTTTTATTATTTATGAAATAGCTTAATATATTTTGAATAGTTTGTGTTTTAAATTAACTATTATATATTGTATGCAAAGAGAGTTGTAGATGTAATTATGATAGGTAAAGTATTATTAAGAATTTTTAAAAAAAATAATAAATTTTATATGCTTCTCCACACAAAGCGTTATTCTTAAAATACAATGCTTGAGTGAATTTTACTCACCCAAATCAATATACTGATTCTGAAAGCAAAGTCAAAAACAAAGAGAGGGAGAGAACAATAGGAAATTGGAGTATTTCAAGAAGACTAAGCATCTGTTCGAAGGGTTGTATTATTCATCTATAAGACACCAATTGGTGCCTCTTGCTTCAAGGTAGTTTTCCAATGGTTCAAACCATGCTTCATCTCCGTTGCCTATTAAAATTTAAAAAAAAAAAAAAAAAAAAAACCATGCTTCATATTTCTCTCTTTATTTTCTTACTTCTCTTTGATTCCAACAATGCTTTGCCTAAAATGCTGTTCTCCTTTGTTTCTTCCTACTTCAATTACTTAGTGAATAAATAAAGATAAATATATACCATACTTATAATAATATTAATTTTATTATGTACATAGATATATGTATAGTGTTTAGTTTTATTGGTTTATCTATATTATGTTTTTAAGGTACAAGATAACAAATAATTATTAATTAATAATTACTATTTTTTATTTTAAAAATGATGAAGTTAATTTTTGTTTTAATTTTAGATGTTATATGTTAATTTTTATTGGCTTATATTAAATTAAAAGACAAAAATTATTTTTTTTTAATTCAAAATTTTACATTTTAAAAAAAATTATTATAATTATTACTCAATTATTACCTTTCATCCTATGCCTTTAGGGCAAGGGATACACAAATTCTAGTTGTAGATGCAAGTGTATGGTTACCTTTTTTCATAGTTAAGTTGTTAGTTTTGTAATAGACTCAACATCTATAAATTGTGTATCATGAATGGTAGATCATGAATGTTAGAATACTAGCATTCATATTGTTAGAATATTAATATTTATGTTAGAATATTAGCATTTATATTATATTAGTATATTCACATTATAATTGCATACATTTAAGTTAATCAAGTTTGTACATTGGAATATTTTATTATATACATATAAGTTCTTTGTATATAAAATGAAAATAAGAAAGTAATAAATCTTTTTCTTTTTTCGAATATTCCTCTTCTTTAAGTTTCAAACTAAATATGGCAAACGAGTAGATTGGGTCGGGTTTGGGTTGGATTAACTCAGGTGACGAGTTATACGGGTTGTAGGTTGAAAAAATTCAACATTAACCTGATCCTAACGGGTTACAGATTAATCCATAGATTGACCTTATTTTCATTCTTTATAATTATTTTTT